TATACAGTGAGGGGGTGCGGGGTGTATCAGTGTGTTATACAGTGAGGGGGTGCGGGGTGTATCAGTGTGTTATACAGTGAGGGGGTGCGGGGTGTATCAGTGTGTTATACAGTGAGGGGGTGCGGGGTGTATCAGTGTGTTATACAGTGAGGGGTGCGGGGTGTATCAGTGTGTTAGTGTATTTGTGCTTTACTAACTGAATCGAAGTGTCTGTATATGTTACCTTTAGATTGGTGACCAGTTGGTTGAGATCAATGGGGAGCCAACTGTGGGAATGAGCCATGCTCGAGCTGTGGAACTGATCCGACACGGTCAAGACAAGATCCATCTCCTAATGCGCTGTGGGAATGGGCAGGTCCCTGAGTTTGGTAAGTGACTGAGTCAGTGTTAGTGACTACACTGTCGTCCAGAACAAGAACTGTCAGACGTGTCAGATTGTGGGTACCCTGTTGGAAGGTCAGCGCAGAGAGAGTGCCGCACTGTCGGAGACTCAGCGCTGAGGGAGCGGGCACTGTCGGAGGCTCAGCGCCGACAGAGCGGGCACTGTCAGAGCCTCAGCACCAAGGGAGCAGGCACAGTTGGAGGGTCAGCGCTAAGGGAGCTCAGCCCTGTCCTGAGGTACTAAGAGGCACCTTTAGGACACCGCTGCTTGGTCTTTCTGTGCACAGTTTGGCCAATGATGATCCTGTTTACCACAGTGACACCTGGCGAAGAGAATCATCTTCCGTGGCTATGATTGGGCGGCACGGTGACTCAGTGACTAGCACAGCTGCCTCACAGTGCCCGGGACCCGGTTTGATTCCAGCCACAGGTTACTATCTGTGTGGGAGTTTGCACATTCTCCCCATGTCTGTGTGGGTTTCCTCCAGGTGCTCCGGTTTCCTCCCACAGTCCAAAGGTGTGCGGGTTGGGGTGGATTGGCCGTGCTAAATTGTCCCGTAGTGCCCAGGGATGTGCGGGTTAGGATGGATTGGCCATGCTAAATTGTCCCATAGTGCCCAGGGATGTGCAGGTTAGGGTGGATTGGCCGTGCTAATTTGTCCCGTAGTGCCCAGGGATGTGCGGGTTAGGGTGGATTGGCCGTGCTAAATTGTCCCGTAGTTCTAGGGTAGGAAATGCGGAGATGGGATGCTCGTCGGAAGGTCGGTGTGGACCCGATGGGCCGAATGGCCTGTTTCCACACTGTAGGCCTTCTATGATGCTATGGTTGCCTGTGAGCAGTGCTGAATTTTACAAGGGTCTCTTCCTCTGACCCTCGTCTGTGTGACTGATGTTTATTAACTGTCTTCTCCTTCTCTTTCTCTTTTTTTTTCTTGTCTTTCCCGTCTCCTGTCTTCCTCCTGCTGCTTCTTGACTCTGCCACCTGCGCCTCCACCCCCAACCCATCCTCCTCCCAAAGCCACGAGCCCATCTCAGCTCTCGGTCTGTGTGACCAACTCCCGGCATGGGGAGCCCTGCTTTTTCCTGCTGGGCCATTCTGACAGCATTCGGTGGGTACTGGCTGAGCGCAGGGGCACAGCTTTCCCACCTGCAGCCGGGAATTCCAGCTGGGATGGAGGGAGGGAGGGCGACTGAGCTGGAGAGAGGTGGAGGAAAGCTGGCAGAGGGGAGAAGAAGGGTGAGGTGGGTAGAAGGTGAGCAAGACAAAGACAACAGGGGAGAGCGAGTGGGAGGGAGAAGAGTGAGGCAGGAAGAGAAGGCAAGAGATGCAGAGGAGCAAGGCCAGAAGGAAAATGAGGAAGAAGATGGGGAGGGAAGGAGAGAGAGCAAGGGAGACGGGGAGAGTCCGAGAGAGGGAAGGAGAGGGGGTAGTGAGAGGGAGAGAAGCGAAATTGGTGGGGGAGTGGGGGGGGAAGAGAGAGTGCGAGCATGTGAGGCGGGGAGAGAGGTAGTAAGGATGGCAGGGAGGGAGGGACAGAGAGAACGAGGCAGAGAGAGAAGGGGAGAGAGGTAGCAAGAATGGGAGTGAGGGAGGGAGAGAGAGAGAGCAGGTGAGGCAGAGAGAGAAGGGGAGAGAGTTAGCGAGAATGAGAGTGAGGGAGGGAGAGTGAGGGAGGGAGAGAGAGCATGTGAGGCAAAGAGAGAAGGGGAGAGAGGGAGACAGCGAAGGGGGTGATGGGGAGATTACGGGGAGTAACGGGTGGGGAAGAGGGGAAGTGTGAGCGTAGCCCTGCGAGGGGGTGGGAGGGCGAGGGTACGAGTGGATGAGGGCAGAGAGTGAGGGAGAGACAGTGAGTGGGTGAGATGAGGAGTGTGAGGAAGAGAGGGACAGAGTGAGGGAGAGGAGAAACGGAGAGTGGAAGAGGAATGGAACGGGGTGGGGTTGGAGAGTGAGGTGAGGGAGCAAAGGGGACTGCTGTGGAGGGGGGAAAGCATAAGTGGTAGGGCATAGGGAGTGAGCGGGAAGGAGGTAGGCAGGGCGAAGGGAGAAGGGAGAGTGAGAGAGAGAGAGGTGGGGCCAGAGCGAGGGGAGAGACTGAGCAAGGCAGAGAGAGAGGAGACGAGGGAGTGGGGCAGCCAGAGTGGGAGTGTAGGGGGAATGGAAAGAGGGGGACAGAGCGAGGCAGGACCTAGTGAGGGAGAAGGGAGGAGAGTGAGGGGGGGGGGAAGGGGGGGGGGGGGAGACAAGAGAGGGCAATGGGGAGAGCGACAGGGAGGGGTAAAGCAAGTGAGGCAGAGAGAGAGGGAGAGGGCGACAGAAAGACAGGAAGGAGAGAGGGGTGAGATGGAAGGAGGGCAGGCCTTACACATTTCATTGGCAGGGCCCAGGGGAGTGTTGCCAAGCAAAGACACCTAGGGAAGCAGGTGTGTAGTTCCTTGAAAGTGGAGTCGCAGGTAGTCAGGGCGGTGAAAGAAGACTTTTAACAGGCTTACCTTTGTTGGTCAGAGCATTGAGTATAGGAGTTGGAATGTCATATTGCAGCACATCGATGAGGACGGTATTAGAATACTGTGTCCAGTTCTGGTCACCCTTCTATAGGAAGGACATTAAACTCGGAAAAGATGCAGAAAAGATTTACAAGGATGTCGCCGGGTCTGGAGGATTGGAACTATAGGGAGAAGCCGAATAGGCTGGGGCGTTCCTGCTTGGAGGACAGGAGGCTGAGGGGTGACCTTATTAGAGGTTTATAAAATTGTGAGGGTCTCGGATAGGCTGAATGGCCAGGCTGTTCCCCACCCAGGCTGGGGGAGGGTATAGATTTAGAGGGCATAGGTTTAAGATGAGAGGGGAAAGATTTAAGATGGGCCTGAGGGGGAATCTTTTTCACACAGGAGGTGGAACAAGCTGCCAGAGGTTGGTACCATGGCTAGGTTTGAAAGGCATCTGGGTGGGTACTTGAATAGGAAGGGTTTAGAGGGATATGGGCCAAATGCTGGCAAACAGGATGAGGTCAGACTCGGGTCTGTGGTCGGCGCGGACGGGTTGATCGAAGGGTCTGTTTCTGTGCTGTATCCTCTATAACTGATGTCCTCTTGAATGGCCTCCTCCTGTACTGTAACCGTTCTGTGATTCTGAGTGAGCTGTGTCTGTGGGAGAGGGATCTGGTTCGTGGAACAAAGGGCTTTGATCACTGTGCATTAAAATCCTGGAGGAGCTGGGACCCTGGCCAGTGCCAGATTGGCAGTAGAACGGTGCTGAGCTGGTTAACCACTGTGCCTGTTTCAGTATTGACAAAATTATTGCTGTGTTGCTGTGGCAACGGACTCAGTCAAAGCCAGGGAGGGGTGATGTGTGAACCATCTGTAACCAACAAAACATAAAATCAACCTACAACAGGTTCATCCCACAGTGTCACTCCCAAACTCAATCCAAAACTTAATTCCACTGCCTCACTGTCTCTCCCCATGGCCCTGTATTCATCCCCAAACTAATCCCAGTGCACCGTGCTCTCCCCGTAGCCCTGTATCGATCCCCAAACTAATCCCACTGCCCCGCTGTCTCCCCATAGCCCTGTATCCATCCCCAAACTAATCCTCTTCTATTTGTGATTTTTGTAAATGATTTAGATGAAGGAGTGGAAGGGTGGATTAGCAAGTTCGCGGACGATACGAAGGTGGTTCGCGTTGTGGACAGTGCGGAGGGCTGTTCTAGGTTACAAAGGGACATTGATAGAATGCAGAGCTGGGCTGAGAAGTGGCAGATGGAGTTTAACCCTGAAAAGTGTGAGGTGATTCATTTTGGAAGGACAAACTTGAAAGCAGAATACAGGGTTAACGGAAAGATTCTTGGCAGTGTGGAGGAGCAGAGGGATCTTGGGGTTCATGTTCACAGTTCCCTGAAAACTGCCACCCAGGTGGATAGAGTTGTTAAGAAGGCGTATGGTGTGTTAACTTTCATTAATAGAGGGATTGATTTCCAGAGCCATGAAGTTATGCTCCAGCTATACAAAAACCTGGTTCGGCCACATCTGGAGTATTGCGTCCAGTTCTGGTCACCTCATTATAGGAAAGATGTGGAGGTGTTGGAAAAGGTGCAGAGGAGATTTACCAGGATGTTGCCTGGAATGGAGGGAAGGTCTTACGAGGAAAGGTTGAGAGAGCTAGGGCTTTTCTCTTTAGAACGATGAAGGATGAGAGGTGACTTGATAGAGAGACAAAATGATGACAGGTATAGATAGAGTGGACAGCCAGAGACTTTTTCATAGGGTGGAGGTAGCTATTACGAGGGGGCATAGTTTTAAAGTGAGTGGAAGTAGATATAGGGGAGACGTCAGAGGTAGGTTCTTTACTCAGAGCGTAGTCGGGGCGTGGAATGCATTCCCGGAGAGGGTAGTGGAATCGGCCTCATTAGGGGCATTTAAGCAGCTATTAGATAGGCATATGGATGATAGTATAAGGTAGGGGTGGAAGTTAGATAGACCTTAGGATTAGGGTAAAAGTTCGGCACAACATCGTGGGCTGAAGGGCCTGTACTGTGCTGTACTGTTCTATGTTCTAATCCCATTGCCCCGCTTTCTTCCCCCAGCCCTGCATCCATCCCCAAACTAATCCCACTGCCCTGCTCTCTCTCCCCATAGCCCTGTATTGCTCCCCAAACCAATCCCACTGCCCCGCTCTCTCCCCATAGCCCTGTATCGATCCCCAAACCAATCCCACTGCCCCGCTCTCTCCCCATATCCCTGTGAAGCTCGATACTGGGATGGTCCTTGTTCCTGCTGCTGTTTAGCACCACATTGGGTGCTGTGTTTGCACAATGAGTTACATTAATCACTGAACACTCCAGCTGGTGGGTCCTTTGAGGCTTGTTCGGACAGTGACGTCTCTCAGCCAAACGCCCTGGAATTTGCCGGGACAGATACTTGGAATGTAATGAATATAGTTATAACCTGAAAAGAATGTCTTTTGAACTGAAAGAAAAGCAGCTTCGACTCTGCCCCCGTCAAACACTCCGAGGGACAGCACGGGGTTAGATACAAAGTAAAGCTCCCTCTACACTGTTCCTCCCATCAAACCCTCTCAGGACAGGGACAGCACGGGGTTAGAAACAAAGTAAAGCTGTTTATACACTGCCTCCATAAAACACTGCCAAGACAGGGACAGCTCTGAGGGCATGTGTTGTCGAATTCGCCCTGAACCCCCCTCCTAAACTCTGTGATCTGTCGCCTCAGGTTCTGATTGTAAAGTGAGATCTCTGTATCCCCTCAGGTCCTGACGCTGTAAGTAGGCCAGACCTTGGAGAAGTCACTGTGGTTCCAGTCAGGCAGGAGCACCCTGCCCGAGGTGCTGCGCGGGGCCAGGCCAGGCCTCAGTCGCACCATCCACGTGCTTTACTCTCCTCTGGCCCAGAACATCCGACGACGAGACAGGGGAGACTGTCCAAAGGCCAGTCCCAAGCTGCCGATGCCCGGCCTGTTGCCGGTAGTGCCCGGGGACACCGGAGGAACCGCAGGAACCAACAAGGTGATGATAGCGGGCCTGAAACCGACCTCAGGCCTCGGTCCCGGGCTCTGCGTGATCACTCCAGGCAGCAGTGAGCCCTCGGGTCTAGGGCCGATAATATCTCGGAGCCCACCCAATCCCAGGCTCCCCTGGACTGCTCTGCACCTGGTGCTTTAGGTGAATTAAAGGCCCAAATCCCCTCTGGCTACACTAGGCCTGAGGCTCTCCTTGACTCGAGTCCCAATGTTCCAGTTGAGTCCAGGTTCCATTCTCTCCCTCGCTACTCTAGGCCTCGGGCTCTCCTCGAATCTAGGCCCGATGCTCCGGTTGAGTCCAGGGTCCAGACTCTCCCGAGCTACCGTAAACCCCAGGCTCTTGGCAACAGCAGGCCCCTGTCTGAGGAGAGCACGGAGACCGATTCAGACAGCAGGGAGACGGATTGGGAGGAGGATACAGCCTCCTCTTCTCCAGAGCTGCCAACCCTCGGCAGCTTCGATGAGCAGAGGCAGTTGAGTTCCATGATCGGGAGGGGTCTAAATCTCAGTCGGGGGCCCCTACCGCCAGGCTCGGGCACTGCAGAGAGGGAGTACTGTGTCCACTGCGGCAGCCAGAGGGGGACAAAGGACAGCAAGCGAGGCAGACTGTGGGGGCTGCTCTCTCCAGGGCCCTGGCTTGTGCCAGAAGAGGAAAAGCTCCTCGGAATATTAGGGAGGTAGTGTCCAAGGGGCAGGTTGCAGCTGGCCGGGATGGGCAGGAAATGGTCAGGTGAGAGGTGATGCCCCAAGTGGCGGACCAGCCACCCCTGCTGGAAGTGTATTATAATCAGGGAAAGACTGCTGCTTATGGGGGACAAGTGTCAGCATCGCGCCGTCGGAGGGTCAGGGGTGACGGAGCGGGCGCCATCGGAGGGTCAGGGCCGAGGGGAGCGGGCGCCGTCGGAGGGTCAGGGCCGAGGGGAGCGGGCGCCGTCAGAGGGTCAGGGCCGAGGGAGCTGGCGCTCTCAGAGATGCTGCGATTCAGGAGGAGACATTAAAACCAATGCCCCCTGTGCCTTCTGAGCTGGGCACCGCAGATCCCAGTGCCCCCCCACCCCGGTGAGAGGAGCGAGTTCTCCAAATCCCTTAACCCAGATGTTTGAACAGTCGGTGCTGAGTGTCCCAGGAGCCTCTTCGCCGATTGTGGGATTGTGCTGTGCGCCGATCTGCTGCTCTGTTTCCTGCGCCCAGCGGAACTGTGCTGTGTTAAAAATGCACTTGATGTCTATCCCCGCTGGCCTGCCCTGAGACGGGAGCAGGCGCTACAGAGATGCAGAGCTTGGAAGTTGAATGTACGTCCATTTCCACAAAGAGTGAATATTTTAATGAAATTTTAATCATCTTGAGAATATATGTGGACATTGAATAAAGACTCAGTGACACAAGCCAATGCCAGTTCTCATCATTTCTGCCTGTCACTGTACATATAACGCTGGTCCATGTCTGACTTGTGTTTGAGGCAACTGCTGTCATCCTGAAATCGAGCCCCATTAATGCCGGAGTTGTAACAAATGTTGGAAGATTTTTTTTTGTAATGAGGTGCGAACTGTACCCCACTTTCAGATCAAAGGAGGTAGAAAGCACAGAATAGGTCTCTGCACACAACGAGAAATGATTTCATTGTGTAAAAGGAACGAGAGGTTTTTCAGGGTCATGGGGCGGGCTGGACAGAGAGAAAAGCTTCCTGTTCCTTAAAAGGGACAAAGAGGGGTGTGGATTTAAAATGATGTGCAAGGGGTGAAGTCAGCTGAACTTCTGCCCCCAGTGAGTGGTTCGGGTCTGGGATGCACCACCTGGAAATGTGGTGGAGCAATGTTCAATTGAAGCATTCAAGAGAGACATTGGATGGCTGTTTGTGTAGAAGAGGTGAGAGGGGATGTGGAAAATGCAGGAGATTGGCACTAGAGAAGAGAACTAGTGCAGCCACTGATGGACCAAATGGCCGCCTCCTGCACTCTAATGACTCTGTGATTCTCTGAGGTAGCTACAAGTCAACAGGAATGAGCCACTGGCACATAACCGTCCTAACTAAAACACCGATCTCCTTCCAAACACACACGCACAGTCTGTCTCTCTAACGGCACGTGGATCATTGACAGAGGTGGAGAAACTTAAAAAAGTCAGTTCAGTGTCTTTGCTTGCCCATCATGATGTTGAGAAGATCCCTCGTTCATTGGTGGGACCTCTTGTTGGTCATTCATCTTCCTCCGCAAACTTCCACCGCAGTTTGCAACAGCACAGAGCAACTCCGAGATAGTTAAGAACTGCTGATGCTGAAGTCTGAGATAACACAGTGTGGGAGCTGGAGCAACGCAGCAGGCCAGGCAGCATCAGAGGAGTAGGAAAGCTGATGTTTTGGGTCGGGACCCTTCTTCCTGCTCCTCTGATGCTGCCTGACCTGCAGCGTTCCTCCAGCTCCACGCTGTGTTAGCTCAGAGCAACTGTTTCACTTGGAAAATGTCTCTGATTTATCGATTCGAAAGTATTGCTGGAAAGATAACACTTTTTTTTTCACCAGGGTCAGACTGAGATTTTACTGCAGAGAACAGGCGGCACCTGCTGGGGAGAGCAACAGCACACACTTCTGTGTATTTCTCTCTGTTTCCTGGCAGGTCGGAAATGGGAACAGGTCACAGTTACCCAAGAATGAGTTAGCTTCACTTGCAAACAGCTCTTCGCCTGCTGATAGTTTGTCCCTGGTGGGAACTCGGAGTCACAAAAAACTGAGTTCACCGTAGGCATCAAGCTCGTTGCTGTGAAATGATACAGCCATCCTGATAAATCCCTGTTTTTACAATCGTCCTTCCTCTCGCAATGTACAAGACACGCAATGGAGCTGCTTCTCTCTATTCCCAGTCATGAGATAACTGGTGTCTGTCTGAGGACATTTCTCTCACTCCTAATCCCTCCCCTCTTCCCTACCCCTTCTGTTAAGCTTGTATCTCCCAATTTGTGGATTATATAGCAAGTAACAGACAGAGCTAAGCGATCCCACAGCTAGCAGATCGGATCTAGGCTCTGCAGTTGTGAATCGTGGTGGATAATAAAACAATTGTGCAAGGTTCTGCTCGTTGCGTAGGGAGGAGATGACTCACCAGGATGTGGCCTGCAATGGAGCAGTTCAGCAAAGGAGAGAGACTTAGTGCTGTTTTCCTTAGAGCAGAGAAGGCCGAGAGGAGACCTGATTGGGGTTTACACAGTTCTGAGAGGAATGGGCAAAGTACAGAGTCATAGAGCACGGAAACAGACCCTTCAGTCCAACTCGTCCATGCTGACCACATTTTCCAAACTAAACCAGCCCTATCGGCCTGCGCTTGGCCCATGTCCCTCCAAATGTTTCCTATTTATGAATTTATGCAAGTGTCTTTTGAACGTTGTAACTGAACCCACTTCCACCACTTCCTCTGGCAGTTCATTCCCGAAACCACTCTTTGGGGAAAAGAAAAGTTGTGGGATTAGATGTAGATTGATACAGGGCTATGGGGGGAGAGTGGGGCAGTGGGATTAGTTTGGAGATTGATACAGGACTATGGGGAGAGCGCGGGACGGTGGGATTAGTTTGGGGATTGATACAGGGCTATGGGGAGAGCGGGACTCTGGGATTAATTTGGGCTGAATAAAATCCTAAAGAACTGCGTGTGCTGTAAATCAGGAATAAAAACAAAGTTGCTGGAAAAGCTCAGTAGGTCTGGCAGCATCTGTGAAGAAAAAATGAGAGTTAACGTTTTTGGTCCAGTGTCTCTTCCTCAGAAATAAAGGACAACAGGGTGTAGAGCTGGATGAACACAGCAGGCCAAGCAGCATCAGAGGAGCAGGAAAGCTGATGTTTCGAGCCTAGACCCTTCTTCAGAAAACAAGGTTCTTCCTCAGAACTTAGTTTGTGGATTGAATACAGGACTATGGGAGAGAGCGAAGCTATGGGATTAGTTTGGGGATTGATACAGGGCAATGGGGAGAGAGCGGGCCAGTGGGATTAGTTTGGGAATTAATAAAGGGCTGTGGGGATAGAGCAGGGTAAGTGGGATTAGTTTGGGGATAGATACAGGGCTATGGGGAGAGAGCGGGGCAGGGAGATTAATTTGGGGATTAATACCGGGGTATGGGAAGAGAGCTGGGCAGTGGGATTAGTTTGGAATTTGATACTGGACAATGGCAGGGGGGAGAGCGGGATAGTGGGACTAATTTGGGGATTTATACAGCGGTCACTGAGACTAAACTCCAGCCCTGCAGTGTATTAGAGTTTCGCCAGTAATTTCTGTTTGTATTCTCACTGCATTAGAGCGTGAATGAAAGTATATTGGGGAATTAATCAGAATTAAAATAAAAGCTCTTGAATACTGTGTCTGGTTCTGGTCGCCCAGTTATAGGAAGGATAGTATTAAGATGGAGAGAGCTCAAGAGATTTTTCAGAAGTTTTGAGTTATAAAGAAAGGCAGGATAGCTGGGCTTTTTTTTCACTGGAGCAGAGGAGATTGAGGAGCAACTTTATACAGGTTTATAAAATCATGAGGGGTAACGATAGAGTTAATCGCAGGTGTCTTTTCCTTAGGAAGGGGGCTTTCGAGACTTGGGGACACATTTTTGATGTGAGAGAGTCAGGAGAGTTTCTAAAAAAGAGGGTGTGGAATGGACTTCTGGAGGATGTGGGCACAGTTACAGGGCTTAAAAGACACTTAGATAAGTCCATAAATAGCAAAGGTTTGGAGGGATATGGGCCAGGAACAGGCAGGCGGGACTAGTTTAGTTTGGGATTATGTTCGGTCTGTTTCTGTGCGGTACGAGAGTGGGAGAGAGAGAGAGTGACTAATTTCTGAGGGAGAGAACGAGAATTGATTTGAAGAGCAGGTAGCAGTTGAGAGAGAGGGGAAGGAAACAAACTGTGAGGCTGCACTTCCCGTTGAACGAACCCTCCCTCTTTTGGAGAGAGGAAATTGTTGTGGCTGAAGAAGACAAGGGCTCTGAGGGAGGGCTGCGGGAGAGAGCAGAGAAGGCAAGCCGCTGTCCCAGAAGAAATGTCCAGTGAGGACCAGCATGACGCTGTCGCGGAAGGTGACGGGCTCTTCAGTCGTTTTCAGGCATATGCTCGCACCAGGAAAGGCATGGTTTTACTCGGCGAGGTGGTAAGTGAAACTTACAGGAGGGTGCCCAGGGCACGCCCGTCCTCTGACAGCAGGCTAACTGTTCTCCACACACACAACGCTCTCTCTGTTTGTCTGTCTGTAGGGCGGAGTTCACGAACCCGCAGACTAGGGATGGAGCTCCTGCTTGCGGGCTCAGTCTGACTGTTATCCGGTCTCTCTCAATCTCTCTCTGGGTCCTTCTGCATGGTTTTCTCTCTCTGTCTCTCACTGTCTGTGTGTCTCGTCTCCCCTGCCCTGCCCTCTCTTTCTCTTCCTTCCCTCTCTTTTTCTTCCCTTTCCCCCGTTCTCTCTCTTTCTCTCTCTCTGTCTCTTCCCTCCCTTTCTCCCCTTCTCTCTCTTTCTGTCACTCCGCCTCCTTCTGTGAACACAGCTGTGCCCTGGCACACATTAACATGGCCATGGATAATGTCACGACTCTCTGTTAGCTATTAATAGCTGATACTCTCCAGCTCGGCTGCAAGTGGAAACTCGATTTCTGCTCACAGATTTCAGCGGCCCCAGGCCCTCTGCAGCTCTGAGACAGAACAGGGGCCTTCATTCAGTTGTGCTCACTCTGCTCCACCTGGCAACAGTGCCATCGCTGTGGCATGAACACCCGCACTCCTCACCCGCCTCACACACTTTCCCCCCCACACCCTCTCTCAACCCCAACACGCCCTCACCCACCCCCTCATCCTGTTTCCCCTCACACCCTCTCAAACCCCCAACATGCCCTCCCCCACACTCCCTCACCCACCCTGTCACCCTGTTCCCCCTCAC